CGAACCCACCCCCCACCATTACCATGGATTGTAATGATCAATGTTCACAAAAACAAGGTCAGTGATCATCACGATCTGTGACAGGTCAGGGGTCCTGATGCTTCCTGGAACTGGTCAAAGATTGTCATGTTTCCTGTGCAAGAGGTGAAGCGGTTAGAACAATAGATGGTGCTCGCTGCAAGACAGTGTGAACCTGATCTGTGAAACAAGCTGGCAGTTTTATGAAGGGATTCGAGGGAGGGGGACAGTTGGACTAATGGAACCTTGTGACAACTACAGCTTTGTAGGGTTATTCTCATTTTTCCTCCCCATGTGTAAAATCTGAAGCGTGACTGGAATTTGTGTTGGATTGTAGGGGGCATTTGAGAAAGGCTCCAACATATAATGATTCATCATAAGTTATTGTTGTTTGCAAAATTGGGTTCTAAAGTTGAGCAAATAGTCTTTTGATTTTTAATTCTGTGCAGGTGTTGTTCTTTAAAGGGAGCAAAACAGCCTTTCCAATAAATCATGTGATTTAAGGTAAAGGATAGTTAGATCACTTAGTGAGATAATGACAGAAGTATTGATAAATGAAGTTTGTCCTACCTACAGAAAGAAAGACCAGAGGCCAGAAACTGGTTTAGTTCAGGAGAGAAGGTTCATACTATCAGAAAAGCAGTTTAGTTTTTGCCATCTCTAGGCCATCAATGCTGGAAAGAAGTCTTTAAGCTATATTAGTAATCCAAGTAGACCGGGCTAGTAAAAACTTAGTGCATTTCTTAAGAGTTCAGTAAGGGAAATTCAATGAATTTGCCTGTACCTATGTGTTTCTGGGACAGTCGGTGATGGAGAGAGTCACATCTTGTGAAAATGCAGAAATTTGCTAAAATCACTTGTGGCCTTATCATCGACTGATCAAAGAGTGTAGGTAGGACTGCTGTTTCACTGGCATTAAGTGTCTATAATGAATATTTCTGTGGAAAAGGGGTGAATTTTCTTGCTGTTTAAGATGAGATTCTTCCAAACTGTCTTATATGGCTGTTTATTTCCTTTCCTCTTGTGTAATAAACTTATTGTCTTTTGCTAAAAGTACTTAGGCACCCTCTTGTGAAAATCAAGCCAGATTTCACTCTGATCCGATTTTTCTGGTATAACCATCAGCTAGGATCCGAACATGAACGTTCTCTATTATGTCCTCTCTGGGTCTCCTCTGTAGGATGGCCAAGTGCAGTGTAGCGCAGAGACATGTCATCCCATCACCCCATGAGGCAAGTGTTGCTTCGAATGCAGCAGGTGGAATGGTCAGAGTTACCAAAATTATTGTACCAAGTGCTTGTGCAGGGCCGGTGTGTCCAGGCTGTGATGTGTGTGGGGAATATATACGTAGGGCACACTGTGTGTGGTTGGTGTTTACAGGCTGAAGCGTGTGCACAGGCTGAGGGTGGTGTGGTGGGCGGATAAAGAGTCTGTTGGGTGTGTTCACAGTGTGGTGGGTATGTACTGTATAACAATGATCCATATACATGGGCTCAGTGGACGATTTCCGCGTCTCCCCCCCCCCCCCCCCCCACCGTACCAAACTCTCCCAAAGTACTTACCAAAAATATACCATGGGAGTGACCAATCATCGAGTTGGTGAACAGAACCTGTGAGGTGCTCCTCCTCCATTCACAGGTTGTTTTTCTCCTGTTCTTGCTACTGCTTCATACGCCAGTGAACCGATCAACAACAACGGTAGAAGAGAAGCAACGTGATTGGACAAGGAGCATTTGGCATGGTAAATGGCAGCTGGGAGAGAGTGGCTGGAAGTTCTTTCAGCTTTGGGGGTAGGTAGGGCTATGTGAGACAATAGGAGGGAGACCTCAGGAGGAGGTAAAGGAGGCTGCATGTGGGGTGAAAGGTGCTTCAAGTGGTGATGAAGGATACTATGAAGGGCAGGAAGTAGGAGTTTGCAGCAGTGGGGTAAGTGGAGGAGGGTTTTGAAAGAAGTTTCAAAGTCTGCAGCAGGTGGTGAGGGAACCAACAAGATGGGAAATCCTACCCAGTCTCAGCCTCACCAATCAGCCTACGTCGAATCTATCCATAATAGTATCCAGAGGATTAACCACCACACAGTGCTTCTGGAGACCAAGTCCCATCTTCACAGTTGTGTGGCTCTTTTTTGTGCTAAATGGGATAGACTGCAAACAGATCTAGCAATTTGGAACTGAATATACATGAAACAGCAGTAGCAGCAGAATTGAACTCATAAAATGTGCAACCTCATAGGCCTAGCATATTCCTCATTCTACCATTACCATTCATACCGGGGACCAATCCTGTAAGGCAGGAAGAAAGCTCTAACTCTGATTCTCAAATCCAATTAGCGATGGGCAATAGATGCTGCTGCAGCCAGAAAATCTCTCATGTCTTCAAAGAATGGAATCTGCGAGATGGGTGACAAAAAGAAGAGACTCTGGGGTTGGGTGGGGCAAGGGGCCTTGATGGTAGAGTGAGAACGCAAAGCAGAGAGAACAGCTTTAAACCTGTAATAAAGGTAAACTCCACATACTGTGAAAACCTGAAATTGCCAAAAAAAAAATTCCTTGAAAATGGATGCAGAATCTCTCGCTTAAGGTTGCATAAGTTGAAACACAGTAATATGGGAAAATGTTGTGGATTATGTTGCAATGAATGAACACAGTCAACTGTTAAATTTACAAATGGAATTGAGATCTGTGATACAGTAACTGCTTAAAATGTTCTAGCTCTGTGCATATTCAATGCAAACACATGAGTTGTGATCTGACCAGTATGCAGGCGGTGTTTGAAGGCTGATATCTTGTTGTGCATACAAGCATGGCTTGGTTACTCTGTAAAGAGCCACAGTGCTAATGTATGCCTGTTGTCTTGTGCAATTTTAAACATTGCCATGTCTAAAAAATTAACGCTTTCCTTTTGTTCTGTGCCTGAGAGTTTAATGGAGTCTTGATAATTACTGAAGATATCAATTAATTATTCTAATTCCACTCTGTGACAGTCTAATTATCCCACATGTCAATACAGACACTAAAGATATTATTACTGTGTGACTGTATCACCAAATAAAATTAGTGAGAGCACCAAATAAAGTCAGTGAGAGATACAAAAGTAATCCTGAAAACAAAAATAGTCCCTGAAAACAAAAATAGTCCCTGAAAAAATCTCAAGAAGAGCTCTCAAAAAAAATATTTTTACTCTTGATGTGCAGTTAGGGTATATTTTGTTCCAGTTTTATGGGTGTGTGGGGGAGAGGGGGCTGTGTGTACCAGTTGTATACATGTGAGGGGGAGTGGGGGTTGTATGGGTGTGCAAGGGGAGGGGGCTGTGTGTACCAGTTGTAGGGGTGTGGCTTGGCGTGGGGGGGAAGCTGTGTGTACCAGTTGTATGTGTCGCAGGGGAGAGGGGGCTGTGTGTGCCAGTTGTATGAGTGTGCAGGGGAGAGAGGTCTGTGTGTGCCAATTGTATGGGTACGCGGGGGATAGGGGGCTGTGTGAGAGAGAAAGCTGCAATACAGGTCATACTGAGAGTTAATTGCACTGTTGGGTTGATTGCTGAGGAATCACTGCACAATACTGAGGGACTGGGTAGAACAGTGATGTAGAGAATGAACTTGTTCTTGTGGTCTGTTCTAACGACAGAGTCTGAACATACTGCGTAGCACACCTTCTGGTGAAACAATTAAAGATATTTGAAGCGATTTTTCTCTCTGCAGAATGGAAATGTCCACTGCCAGGAGGTCACCTGCCTTCAACTCACCTGTTTGGACCAGTACAAACCAGCTGGGGAGTGCTGTGCTGTCTGTCGGCCAGGTAATGTCAGATATCCAAACACAGGCTACAGGTAACTCCGCACCCCCATCACTCCCACCCAGATAACTCCGCACCGCCGTCACTCCCGCCCAGGTAACTCCGCACCGCCGTCACTCCCGCCCAGGTAACTCCGCAC